TGAGCACTCTTGATTAATTCACATCAAATAGAAAATATTTGTTTTCAAAAATGTTCTTATTCAAAACTACTACCGTAATATCCCGAGTCATCGCCCACCGCCCTACCGCCTGAAATTCGTTAAAAAAATGGGGTGGGCCATGTCTCGGTGGGTGAGCACAAACACTTGGACAAAAGCGGAAAAAACCGCCTATTTTTCTCTGCGTATCTAGCGCTGATGCACAAGAGATACATCTAACTCAAAACTCGATTTAGTTTCATTGTTTTATAGAAAAAAATGCTCACGAAAGAATATTTTACTATAGCGAAGTCCGTTGCTTGCATACGCGCTAGAAACACCGCCCATCTGCATATAGCACGAACGTTTGTTCCGTGAAAGAATGTCACCTTTATGTTCTCCTAGTTAGTAAAAAAAAAAGAAAGAAAAGTCTACAAGAAAATAGAAAAACCGACCAGGTGCAACGAGCGAGCGAGCGAGCGGACCAAAGAAGCGACCAAGAGCAATGCTGGGAAAGCGGGAAAGCCGGCGGTCGTGTTGGCAAATACTTTGGCGTCGGGCCAAGTCGGGCGCCTTGTCACTTGCAAGCTCTTGCGCAACTTTCTTGTTTGGTGCGTACATACGTGCGTCCGTGCACGGCGGGCTGTCAATGCACGGTTGGGACGCTCTGCAAACGTCTGTGTAGGACGTTCCAGCAAAGCTTTATTTACGCTTTGGCTTTGCCTAAAATATTGCGCAACCGCGGTCGCGACGGGCGGGAAGAAGGAGCGGGTTCGCGATGACCTTACTTCGGCGGAGACAGACTTTGACCTAACACTCCGCGGTTACGTTAACAAACTCTTATTTTGTTATCTCCATCGTTTTCTTTTCGCACGGATACACGACCACTTTGGGGTCGCTCACGGAGGAAATGCGTAAACAAAAAGAAGTGTCTTTCCCTCCTTCGTTTTACTTTGTCACGGACGTCCTCCAACTGTAAGGTCCCCGGCCGCGTCATTCGGGTAGGATGAGTGTTCGCGGATCGCAGAGTCCGCGCTGGGGTATTTGAAGGGGTGGGCAATGACTCGGTGTTTTTTCGAAAATCGATATTGGCCCGAAAAATGGGGTGGGCGATGGCTCAGGGATGGGCGATGACTCGGGATATTACGGTATTCGTATTCGAAAATATTCTATTCAATTCCTAACCTTTATTATTCGATTGGATTCGCTTCGAAAGATTTTGATATTCGCACACCTCTAGTCATTAATGAAGATTTGTTCAACCCTGGCACAATAACTGCTTGGACTTTCTCAAAACTACCCCTTGAGCTTCTTTACACTAAACAAAATTTTTACCTCGGCTGCGACAAAAAAAAGGAAGAAAACGAAGTAGTGAAATGAAGTTGGCACCGCCCACGTTGCTCCACCCTGTGTCTGCAGCGGAAGATTTCGCTGCCACCGAAATCGAAGTTTGAACCGTTGCGATGAACCTAAGTCGAATGTCACGTTGCATGTAATCGAACATGGCATTCGACAAAAAAGACAGCAAAATCCCGTCTCTGTGAGTGTTGAGAAACAGACATGTCGTCCGTGTCTGTTGTGCTTTCTATTTTACATGACCGCGCTTTGAATATTTAAGAATATTTAAACAGCAAACTTTCCTGCTTAGTTTTAGAGGTGTTTTACAAACCTCGTTTGCCGACTCCAAATCAAGTGCATAGAAATCGCTGCAAAGCAGCGAGATTGTTTTCTGGCTTTCCAAAGTAATTAATTTTTTATTAAATATATGACGTTAGAATGAGAGCTCTGTGGTGCTTTCAGCTTTTGTTGTTCACTGTTAACCATACGCATCTTCAATTATTGTTGGTGGCATAGATTATTAAAACTGCCTCGATTAAGAGCCTTGGTCTCGTCCACATACATTGAGCTGCTTGCGCATCAAGAAAAACGCAGGCCGACTTTATACAATTATGCATGAAAGAAAAAGAAAAAAGTTCAGAAACAAATTTCATACAACTTCGTGAAAAGGTTAGGGCCAAGTTCAATAGTTGTAAATGGCTTCATGCCGCGCGATAACGTTCGCATGTTTCTTCGCGTTGTCATTGATCGTCTGTCAAAAGCTGTGTCTCAAGTAACAAATAAAAATAAGAAAAAATTGTGAACCTGTTTGCATTCACATCACGCACGAATGGAAGGTTTATCACTGCATGCGCAGTGGAACGCAGCAACGCATTGGCTTCACATCTCTCGCACAAAGCGCGGTCGCTTGTTTACGTGGGGTTTTTGCTTGTCGGGTCACTGGTTTCGTTTTCTTGCCACGACCAAGATGGCGGACGTAGCTCTCGGCACGCTACTAGATGGTGCTATACATTTCAGATATAGTGTTTATGGATGAAGCTGGCTACAAATGGCTATTATTGGCTACAAGCATTTACTCTCTATTAAATTGGCTTGAAATGACTATAAATGGCTATTAGTGACGTGTCTATAGTTATGAGCCATTTTTGTTTTTACTATCTGGAATGGCTTTGAGCAGCTATTGTTTGCTATTAGCAGCTATTTCTGACCAGATTGGCTTCAAATGGCTATTAGTGACTTGACAATTCTGTGCTATTTCAGTGTTTATGGATGAGAATGTCTTCAAGTTGCTATTATTGGCAACTTGCTTCAGAGTAACGACACTTGACCATATTGTGTCTTAAATTCATGGTTGCCAGTTATCTCAAGCTTTATATGAAATCGCAGGAAGCACTTTTCCGCCCTTCACAAATATTTAAAGGGCAACTGCGACCAAAACTTAAAATGAAATGAATTACTGGTATCGCTATAGTGACACAAAATACGACCCCAGCCAAAATATTACGTCCGTGGGACACCACATTCTCAATTAATGCCGATAATAAAAATGCGACCCGCCGCGAGCCGCTGCTCCTTAGCGGGCTGCCAGCGGGTTGCCGATCGTTAAAGCAACATTGGGCCATGATGTCAGTATCGTTCTCTTTTTTTCCTCCGGTCCGGGCGTTACGCGGAGTGCGCTTCTTTCAGCCGCTACCACCGCTACTTCGGCTCGTGATTGGCGTGTTTAGCCGTTGCTATTATCTGTAGCCCGTGTAGCTTCGGTATAGCCTTTTGTTTATTTGCTTGTGAGGACTCCAAGACTCGTTTTAGCGAGCAGCTTGAAGCGCCCAAGACTGCCCAGCTGTTCCTCGAAAGATGCCGAGTGCAACTTGTAGCGCTGTGGGCTGCTCAAACAACCCACTGCGCAACACAGAGGTGCTTTTTCGCAAGTTTCCAACGGACCGGGAATTGGAGAAGGTGTGGGTGAACGCTGTTCGACGAGTGGACTTCGGACTTCGGCTTTTACGCGCCTGAGGAAAAAAAGAACAAAAAAACAGACGTGAACAGCCAAGCACACGTTTGTTCGGGCGCCGCGGCCCACACCGGAGAGCCTCAAAGCTTCATGTCTGGAACTGATCCACAGCGCGAAAGCGAGAGGGCTTCCAGTACTGGAACGGCAAAAAAAAACTGCGGCTCCAAACCTGCTTCTATGCAATTTCCACTTCCTCCCCTGTGCCAGACGATCTCCGAATAAACTGGAAGCAGACGATGGCGAGCACGATCGCTTTTATTTGACGCTGGTATTGAAGAAGTCTTGACAAGGTCATTGAAGAAACAGCGGGTGATTGTACACATCAGCGCTGCTGTTCGAAGTGACGCAACGTGATCGAGCCCTTCGCATGACGGTGCAAAGGCAGCTACTGTTATAAAAACTGACAAAAATGTCGTCAGCACATGCAAAATATAGAGCTCGCCGCCGGTTGCGATACTTTTATAAGGCCATACGTTTGTTCTGTCCTTCATAACAAACTTCCTATAAAATATATTCGTATACAAACGGAATGTTCGGCCGTCCTTGGTGATCAAGGTTTTGTCGGCCGAAGCGAGCGTCGGCCAACGTGCACCCCGATTTAGACGCAAACAAAACACCAATCGGGATCGTGCTCTGCGTAAGTGTCCAACCGGCTACCGAATTCGCGTTCATACCCTGCCTTGCTCTGTTCAGCGCAGACAGGACTATCGTCGATATTCACCGAGTTTCCAGCAACGGCGATCAAGACACGGCGTCAGTGAACGTTCCAAACAAAATACGGTCCAATGCATTTTCCGAAAAGAGCTTTACCTGGAAAAGAAATTCGAACGCGTTATTTATCTTACCTTGAGCACTTTTCATTAGCAAAAGCAAGCAAACCGCACACCCGCGACAAAACCAACGCAACTTATCCCGCCATTTATTTATTTTTTTTTTCCTCTTTTAGCGTTAGAAATCGTCACCAGTTAGGAAATGACGTCATCTTTAGCTCCTTTGACTCCACGTGCGCTGTCTCCAGACTCGGTGCTTCGGAGCTTGACTCCGAAGCCCTGGAGTTACGTGCACCGGAAGTGACTTTTGGTCGTCCAGTGGAAGGATTCAGTTACTCCTTGAGTCCGGGGCTGCTACTGACCGCGCCCAATGGGTGCTTTAATTGCGTTAGGTGCTAGGGATGGAAGTCGACAGGTCGATTGCCAGCACAATTAACGCTGACGCAGCCCTCTCTGGTTAGACACCAGTGTGGGGGAAAACGTCACGTGGTGAGAGATACAACGGCGCTCTGCTCCGTGACACGAGGGCACTCTGGGTTTCCCGTTTCCATCTGCCTTCTTCTGTCCCTGTCTTTAGGCGTTTTAACTTGAATGTACAACCAACTAGTCCAACTTGCCGCCTGAATATTGTTTCATGGCCCCTGTGATAACAATCTCCAACATTTAGGAGAATATATATACGCTGTATGAGCAGTTTTTGAGAAGTTGACTAGCATGCATGCGGAGTAGGCCTTGGTACGAATTTCTGCCAATATTTCTTTGCTGTAACTAATTTGTCGTGTGTGGATTGGATTGCAGTTCACCATTTCGTTGGCAGAATCTGTGAGTGAGTTTCAAGCACATTGCATCCAAGACTGTGTTTGTGCTGCTCTGTGTCCTGGCAGGCCCTGAAGCAGTGTGGTTTGTACCACACTCTGAGCAGCTACCTGCAGGGGGCAGAGTCTCCAGAGTTGGCCGAGCTGCAGGCAGAGTGCGCCTGGAGACTGGCCCACTGGGACTGCAGGCTGCCCAAGGACAGGCAAGCACTTTCTCTCTTCTCTAGACATGGCGCTCCAAGAAGCCTTCACCGTGTCCTAAAAACAAAATTTGCGATAATTTTTAAGAATTTTATAATATGTTTTATGAGCCGATTTCCACGGAGTTCTGTAACGTTCAGCTGTAATGGCCACGTGTGACGGCCGGTTGTAGTATGTGCTTGAAATGTGTGTCCGCCCACTGAGTTTAGCGTCCTATTATCTGCCCGTGCATGAAAAGTGGTCCTCAGGTGGCATTAAATAGCGTTGCAAAAGCCGGAGTGTCGTGCCGTTGGACGTAGCGATCCTGGAGGGTTGGCCGTAGAAGTTTCGGCAAAAAGCGGGAGCAAACACGAGTGTCGCTGTCGTCACAGCGTCCCGAACCCCGGTTGCAGTGCCGAAGCTTTTGTAGACCGTTAAGCAAGAGAGTGACCTGCAATAGAACAGGTGTCGTCTGCCACAGCTGCGATGCCACCAACATCGCTGCCGGTGACAGCACAATACTTCTACGACGTCATCGGGGGAAATCGAAGGACTACCTGTCGGAGACGCGTTGCAGGCACCATAGTTGTAGTGAGAAACCAGCACCGAAAAGTGGGGGCGTGCGAATACTGAATAGTAGTTTTCTAATCGAATACCAAATCAAATCAAGAAAAAAAAGCCGAATATTGAATAGTGATTTTATTTGTAGGAATTTTTCAAAGTATGCTGCGAATGAGATTATTATATGTGCAGAGTATGCGCCTGGTGCAGGATATGCATCTTGTACGAAACAAAAGCTAAAATGTAAAAAAATTCTAGTGAAAAAAAAATAAATAAATAAAAGCAGTTAAAAAATAAAGTTGCTGTTGGATATTAAGCACTAAAGATCCAATTTTATGGCACAAATATACAGTGTAGACCGCATATAACGTATGTCGCGGGAGTCGCGAAAATCCGCACTAAAAGCAGTACCGCGTTATAACCAAAACATCAATTTTTCAGGCCAAAATACATGCCATGAGACAACTTACCTTTGTAAAACAATTTATTTTATGTGAGATGAAAAATAAAGCTTAGTTTGAGGAAAGTCTTTATTTCACCAGACCAGTACACTTCTCTCTCAAGTGTGTCACAGATTTGAAAGAAATGAGCGGCTTTTGCCTGGCGCAGCCTTTTAGCGGCGTCGCGGGTTGCGGACGGACGTTGCGAGCGTTCAGGATTGCTAACCCTAATCACTTTTCTCCGGAGATGAAAACGCGTGAAAATTCGGATCCTTCATACGGTACGCGCCAGTAATACCTTGAACTTGAGCACACGCATGAAATGCGCCAAATAAGAAATCCGGGCGATGTTCGAGCACACAAATGCTTAGAAATCACCACTGTAGTCGAAGTAAACAAACACGACGACACGGGCGTTTCTGCCGTCTTGAGAGCGCCGCCACGACATCGCCGCTCGAGTAGGTGGATCTTCCCTTCTAGTACGTGCTGGGTTATCATAGCGACACACAGCGAAAATTCACAGTAAAGGATAGCGCTTTAACGCGGAACGATGAGATGAACGCCGTCTAAGACGACGATCACAACATTGATCACAACCGATCCCATGTTTGCGGAGAAGCAGCCGGCCCGCGACCGGCGTGCGACGCGCGCGAACACTTCTCGACCTGCGATTGGTCTGTCGTTGCGGTTGTTTCGGATGTTTTCAAGGAAGCGGAGGGACGCACGCACGTGAACGACACGTGCGTGCGTCCCTCCGTCGCTAAGGCAACTGAAGCCTCTCTCTTCGCTTCTCGCGCTTCTTCGAGCAACCTCCTTGCCCCGCGAGTGCCGCTTGCGCAACGCTTGCGGCTCGCGCCGTCAGCGCCGTTATCTAGTGTCGCACAGGGAAGCGTGCTCGCTGCTCCGGTCGTCGGCGCGGTCGGCGGGCTGTGCCAGAAACCGCACTATAACCGGTATTTCCCTTCGCGCGCCTGCGTTTTAAGCGGTATGTAATTACATAGAGTTCTATGGGAGGCGAACCGGTGGTTTAAAAAAACCGCGTTATACCCGGTCCTGCACTATAAGCGGTTACGTTGTAAGTGGTCTATACTGTAATCTATCTACCCCAAACATCACAAAAAAAAGTTCAGCCTTTCCACTCTCGTGAAGAAGGAAGACCAGCGGAGCTGTACTCAATACACTGCCGCAACGCGCACGCGCCAGTTTCCCATTTCTTTTCGTTCGACACGCTGCCGATCATGGATACGTCACCAGCGAACCAGAGTCAGTCGCACACGGTGCACGTGACGCCAAGTGGGTTCTCCACGAACTCCCTTTGGAACCTCGCCGTCGCGCCCAAGAACTGTTCAGCCAACGTGGAGTGCAGTCGTCCCCGGGCCTCACGCGTGCGCTTGGCCTCCGTGGCACGATCGTCGTCCGTGGCGTTGGCCCGCCGGCACCCTTTACATCGCTGGTTCTGTTCTCGGCGGCGGCTTTCCACGCGAGCGATGTGCTCTTCTTTGGCAAGGGAATCTGAAGCGCTCGACGCAGTGGAAGTCGAGGCGACAGCAGCCTTGCGGCGGTTGCGGACCCATTCGCACTGCTGCGTACGTCGCCGCTCCTTCTGCAGCCAGTCTTCTTTTGCTAAAAGGGCGCGCGACCGACCCATCCTAACTCCAGACCGAAACTGATAAGAACGTAGAAAACAGCGTGCAAAGCAGACGAGGACGATGTAACACACGTGACGAGCGCTGCGCTCGTTGCATGTGCTTCTTCCTTGTCGTCGTCTGTTTTTAGCGCTGTTTCCTACGATAAATTCCCACCAATGCACCCAACTATCCATTCTTCTATTATAGCTGGAAAGGTTGCCGCCATCTACAAGCGATGGTGGCAACCAGACTGGTTGTGTGTTTGCCGTCGTCGCTTATAGATGGCGGTAGCTGTCCAGGTAGGTTTGTGCCGACAGGCGCTTGATACCGGACGCGATCCTGGGGAACCTAGCCCTTAACAGGTCTGCTGTAAAAACCAAAGTTACAGCCACGCATGCCTTTTTTTCTTGTTAAAAGCACGACCTAACACTGCGACTTTTCTTTTATAAATATTTGTATATCTCAGAAAAGGGGCATTTTGCGATATTTGGTTTTCATTTTAAGGAAGAAAAGGGGAACCCGGGATTTTATTTCACATAAATAAACACATAGGTGTTAAATCTGAGTAAACAGGCTTAAGCAATATAATCTGAAGTAAGAAAAAATAAAATGTGGTTAGGATCAGAGGCTCCGGAAGTCTTTCTTTGGAGGGGGGGCTCGACATCTCCGAAATGCTCAAGGTTAGGTTGGTTTCAGGTTGACATTAATTGCCATATTGGAATGAAAACATATTAATGCAGCGCGTTTGCATATTCACGCACATATCCATGGAAAACAAAGTAAAACAATGGTTCAGTAAAATAACAGTAAGAAGCTTGCACTGACAACTCATACTATGATTGGATAACCACTGATATCAGCCGCACCATCTGTTCTTTTTTTTTTCTTTCCTATACCAACTTTTACATATCAACCGCAGCTGTGCCTATGCCAGATTGGCTATGTCTAAAAATGAAAACGTTGCTTCATTTAGGGACTCTCGGGGAAGCATGATGTATTAACGCAGACATAGACAAACAAGTGTTAAAAGTTTTGGACAAAACCCCGAGACTCGGGGGGGGAAAAAAAGGACAACACAACACAAAGTCTCAAACACAGCAATGTTGGGCCATCGGATGTCTCAACTGGAGGCAGAGATTGCATACATCGGTATGTACCTCAGGGTCAAGTACATCGACCATGATCGCTTCGGACTCCTGGCGGCAATGCAAGTTGGGGGGCATCACAAAAGGGAGGTGCTGAATGATAAGAGCTGTGTTTGAGACTTTGTGTTGTGTTGTCCTGAGTTTGTAAACATGTGTCGCCTAATACCTCACCACCCTGCGGGCACAACGCCACATGCGCGCAAAGCTTTCGCCATCGAAGGCGCCTTGTCAAATTTGGGAGCTCGTAGACTCTCCTTTTCTAAGCACTCCCAAATCCCCACTCAAGCTCACCAGCCCCCTCCCTCTCCTAATGATGGCCTTTAAGCGCCGCGGTAGTACCGCCTGCCTGTTTTGTCCGCGGGCCAGAGAAGCACCATGCTTCTTTTGGGCTTCTTGCTTCCACACGGGGGAAGCGGACAAACACTCGCCGACGTCGTCTTGTCGGAATCCATTCATTTCGCTGTCCCCTCTTTGTTCGCTCTAAACTGATTGTCAATCAGGCTCATGAGTCCTGCCTGTCATTTTCTTCTGGTTTTGACTTTTCAAGCAAGCCTCTCCGTCGCCCCGCTGCTTTTTGTGCTTGGCGGAGGTGTGGAGGGCGGTAGGTCAGCATGCATAAGGGGTCATTTCATTTGTTTCGGCTCAGGAGAGACGGAGGTACAGCAGATAGGCCGAAGGCCCATACCAGACAACCTGCAAACACACAAACTAAAAAAAAAAAAAAGGGAGGGGGAGGGGGGCTGGGCAGCCCGGTCCTGAGGGCAGGAGGGGCTCAAGCCCACCCTGCCCCCCCGCTTCCGAAACCCCTGGGTTAGGTGGCACAAGGCACCGTCCAACAGCCGCTATGCGTCCATTTTTTCGTCTATCTATAGGCTCGTTCACACAGACACGTTTTCTTACGTCACATTACGAAAAGTCGCCTGGAAATCTGTGCTTGGTTTTAAGCATGGCTACCAATTCAAGGAGATAGCCTGGTACGCGACATTCGAAACACGAATGTTTCGGTCACGGCTAGCTAGGACGGTGAGTTACCGTGGCAACCAAGGACACTTAGTTGCCACGCTTGAAGCCATACAGATTTCTCCGCCATTAGGCAGGGACGCTAGGTACTTCATTGTCCCTGTGGAGCTGGTCACGTGACAGAAAAATCCCTCTTGGCCGCAGCCGCATCTGCGGCCGCAAGATGAGCAAACCAGCCCAGGAAGCCTCAAAAACTGCCGCGGTACCCCCCTCCCTCCCCCCCCCCCCCCTCTCATACTTGCCGACCGAGAAGCTACAGATGCACAGTTGTAGGCCATTTTGCTTGTGTTGCTTCCATTATATCTCCACCATATCAATCGCAATGTCAGTGCAAAGTGAGATGAAGGTGCTTTCCATGGTCCTGTTGTGCAGACTGCAACGTGGGGGGGGGGGGCGAGGGGAGGGGGGTTACAATTTGGGTGTTTGCGGAACTCCTGAGACCAGCTCGTGGAACCCCTGTGGTTTCTGGAACCCAGTTCACTGGGTTCCGGAACCCAGTCCGGAACCCAGTAAGCATGAAATATACCCCTGGTATATTTCATGCTTACCAGTTTTTGTCAGCACTATAAAGCTGGGACCAAAATTTTCTGGTAGAGCAAAAATTTCAAAAATTTTTACTCTACAAGAGTCCTTTGTTTTAGCCAATTTCGTAATTTTGACACAAGCAAATGTGTGTGTTTTTTTTTTTTTTTTTTTTTTTTTCCGGTTAAAACCGGAAGTGTACGGCCTCTCTTTCACTTCAAGTCCGACTGCGCTAAAATCCGACGGAGCCAGTCGAGCAGCGTGGAATCGTCACGGCGCTAATTGTCTTTGTGCGTCTGCTATCACCAACTAAACCAATCGCACGCAATGAATGTGCCACGACTCTGCAGTTTTCAGTTTTTCCGGAGATGGGCCCATGAAGACGAGGAGCGCTGCGACGACGCCTTTTGGGGCCGCTTGACGGACTTTGTCGGATCGTAGGTTCGGCTGCGGTCGAACTTAAACAGAGTAGCTCCATCTCTGCACTTCCCGCGCTCTTTGCAGCGGAGAACCGAGCTTCCATCGAGGCGTCTTCTCGACTCTGTCCGCAATGGCTGCCCAAGAGGAAGAGGGCCTGGACGGCGGCCTCGGCACGTGCAGGCAAGTGGGCCTCCTTGCTGGGAACTTGCACCGTGCTTTTGAGGAGCCGCTTCTTCACCGCCGTTTACGAGGAAGCAGAAACACTGCACTTTGCTAGTGTGGGGAGAGGGCGTTGGACACGGTTAGGGACCCTCAAACGAATTAATGCAGAGTGACCGACCCAAGCGGGTACTCCTCTTTTCACTCTCAATTGCAGTTTAGTGTAAACCTGTTGCAGTGTTGCAATATCGCAACTATGGCTGCAGCAAACTGTAAATAAGGTAGTTCCTCGTTGTAATGAAATCGTTTTTATCCAAATCTGACGTGGTCCCGATCGAAACGTTTTCAACCGGATTATTCCGACTGTATCGACGGCCGACCATGCTTATTATGTGAAAGCCAGGTGCCGAAGGCATCGGAACCTATGTGGAGGTGCGGGGAGACCCTCGTGACACAAACGGCAACCTGGGAAAATGGCAAAGAAGACGGAGCAAACGGGTGACGGAGGGCAGAGCTTGCTGAGCGCCGTTGCAGATGCCGATGCACCGAGCCTGCTTGCTCATGGGGCTGTTCACGCATCAATTTCAAGGTGTTGAATCGTGCGTTTTTGGTCTTTTATTCTTAACATTGCTATCAGATGTCGCAGAAGAGCAAACACCGAAGCTGTAGGCTCTTTTGCGTACCGAACTGTCGCAACCCCGGAAGCTTAGCAGGTGTGAAGCTCCGCAGGTTTCTGTCCAGGCCGGGGAAAATGCAACGCCGTTGGAGGTGAATAAATGCTGTAAAATGTGTATAATAAGCATTCCATTCACATTGCGTGACTTGAGGTGAATTTCTAAATGCGCTATTTGACTCGATATTTGGAATTAATGCGCTCGAAGCCCGCCGTTGTTTTTGGATTCAATGCGATGAGTCGAGTCAGATCAGTCCTTTGACATTCTCACTGCTCTCTGCTCCGCAGACACATCTTGATCGAACAACGTTTTGTCGACGTTTGAGCGTACTGTCGAGACCGGTTATAACGAAGTCGGTTATAACGAAATAGCGGCTACAGTGAAGCGATCACGATTTCCCATTACCTTTTGCACTTCGTTATAACCGAAGTCGGTTAAAATGAAATAGCGAATATAGCGAAGTGATTTCCGATTCCCGTTGACTTCGTTATAACCGGTCTTAACAGTAGTTACCGAAAACCGAAGTGAGCATTTTCTCCGCTTCGCCGATTGCAGAACAGACTGTCGTTTGCAATTTTAGCATGATCGCGTAGCTGCCTAAAATAGTTGCCCTATTTCGACCTGTGTCTATGCGGTTCTAACTTTGTCTCCGCTGTGAGAAAACAGTTGACTCGAGAAATAATTTAAAAAAAGAATGTACTTACCGTACGAGAAAAGGTTATCCATGCGGCGTTTATTTCCGTTCTATGTAAAAGTGAACAGCATATTCAGTCGACGAGAACGAGCACCAGCTTGCGACGAGCAACTGCGTACGACACCGGCCAAGCTACTGCCAGCTTGCACGAAAAACACATTTCTCAGACAACGTAATCGTCTTCAACACGGTCAAAGAGGGGACTGGAAACAAGCTGACCACCAAAATGAGGTCAGCTATTCGTGCAAGAAAAGCTCAGTTGGAAAAAAAGGGTGAGTAAGAGTAAAAAGGGGGTACTCTTCTTTTAGTTCCGGTTTTGCAGAGCAGGGAAGCTCGACGAAGTCTCCGCTTTTGTTATCTTGACGCGCACGTAAACAATGTAAAAAAGAAAGAAAAGAACTGCCCTGTCTACTTGCTTTCACTTGTATTTGGCCGTAATATCAGGAAGTTCAATTTTGTTCTGCTAACTCCCGTTTTGGGTTGTCTCTACCTACTGAAGAAGGAACCTAGTAAAACTCCCTCCTTCTAAAACGACACAACCACACGCGCATGCACGTTTATATATTTAACGTTTTATACATTCTTAAAACAGTTGATAGTGTAGCTTACGACAACACAGCGCTCGGAGATGGTAATAACGTAATTTTGCAAGGGTAGGCCGGTAGCGCTGCCGATTTTAGCCGTCCCAGTGTTGGCTCATCTGGCCACGGTGGCGCTGATGGTCAGCCAACGGTGGCACCCTCTGGAACCCTGCCCAGAGCCCATAGAGAAGAGTTTGGTGACCCCTGCATTTTATCGTCGCTCCATGGAAACCACTGCAAAGAAAAGCCGATGACGTCACGATGTTGAGGCGCAGCATGAGGCAGACGAAGCAGTCGGCATCTGACGTGTGCATGATGCTAGGCCTTACTCCCGCATCAAACTTTTCGATGGCAATGCTATCGCTGGATTCTCGTGCTGTCGCGCAGGACCTATTGCGAATAAAAGTGGACGCTGTTACGACTTAGCAACATACACTCGGGTAAGTGAAAAACCGCGGTAATGAGCAGAATAATTGCTGCAAGATGCTGGAGTCGTAGAAAATCTCCCCGGCAGCCATGTTGAAAATATTTGTTTGCAAGAACAAAATTGATTCGCACAGGTCATGACGTCACAGAAACAACGGGACGCGATTGGTGGCGGAGGAATACAAGATTCTCTTTGAAAGGCATTTGCCGCGTTCTTCTTGACTTGTAACCGACTGTAGAAGTCGTCCTCTAGGTCATCCTAGAAGTCGTCCTTGAGGTCATCGTAGACGTTGTCCTCTAGGCATTTTCCTAGACTTCGTAAAGATAACCGCTTTGCTGGTCCTCCATCTTCACGTAAAGTGGAAGGGCTGTGCAATTTTTTTTTAGTTTGGTTTATAGGATTGTTTTGTAAAAAAGTTGCAATGCTCAATAATGTGTCCTGGCCACTCTGGCAACCCTCCGAAACACACCGAGATTTGGCCGTACTTTCGAAACTTTCCGAAACCCCCGTTTCGGAAAAAGTTTTGCCCCATCACTAGCTTTGAGTAATACACTGATGTTTGCCGCGTTGGCAATTGCGAGGCAATGTGCCGGCGTACAGATCCTGAGTAGGCAGGCTCAAATCTCAGCCCAGGTGTCCGTAATCTGACGGTGGTGGTCCGAGTTAATCCTGAGTTTGCTGGGGTGTACCAAGGGATCTTTGCTCGTTTCTGATCATGTTTCTCAAGATTTGGGTCTCTAAGCGAAAGGCTCTTGTTGGGAGTGAAGGGCATAACTTCTCTTTTCGTTTGGAGGGAGATTGATCTTGAGCGCTCCTTGTCGGACCCTGCAGGGCATGGCTGAGTGGCGAGCTGCAAGGCATGGCCCACCTGGGATCCACGCAGGAGCTGTGCCAACTGCTGTCCAGGCTGCAGATGTGCTCCGTGCTCGAGGAGGGCATTGCCCTCTTCCGCGGGTGAGAGAAGCGGTCTTGCCCACGGGCCTCGGGACACCGAAAACGGACAATTTCTTCTGCTTTTGGTTAAGAGAAAGTTGTGGGAATTCCATAAAACTGTGGTAACTTTTCGGCTGTCTTTTAGGTGCGCGAGTGTTTTGAACTTGCAAGCTGTTTATTGAATTATTGACATAGCATTTGATTCAATTCTCAAAATACTATGACATTAATCTTAGTTGCAAATTTCTTACGGCAAATTATGTTTAATCCTTGGGTGTGCACACCTCTACAAAAGAACAAGTGCACCGCAGTGAAGAAGCAGTACCGTCGCGGATTATGTTTTTACACGAATGGAAAGTACAGTGGAGCCTGGTTATATCCCACCCGGGTATTTCGAATTATTGTTTATATCGAACAGTCCAAACATCCCCTTGAAAATCACATGTAATTGTATAGGAGTGGTGTTTTTCTGTTTTTGAACTTGCATTGCAGAAACACTCGATATATAGTGAACCAAGCACAGTCTCCTGTTGCTTCTCCCGCGGTTGGATTGCGTTGGCGGCGAGCAGCTCGCGTGGCGGGGATAGCAGACCGCCAAGCCAGCATACGCACATGGGGATATGCAACAAAAAAGCAGCCATAAAAATAAAAAAAAAAAATAAAAAAGTTGGAGGTTGGCAAAACCAAGAAAAAGGACACGCGCGCACGTAGGGAGGGCAGGGAGTGCTCGCTGTTGGAATGATAGCATGCTCTCTTTCCCCGAACACCGCTGTCATAGCGCAACTGTTTAGCCCCAAAATAAAAGAAGCAAAAACAAAGTCTTCGTCAAGTTGAGTGTGTCGACAACAACTGTTGAGCAATCGCACTTTGAACGCCTTAGCTTCGTTTACCTCTTTCTTTTGCTAGTTTTGCTTTGCCCGTTTTTACTTTTTTTGCCTTTCTTTTTTTGTTGCCTGAATTTAGTTAGGTTTCTTTTTTTGTTGCTTGCTTAACTTTATTCTATGGATCGAGAGTTTTTTTTTATGCTGCTCGCTTTTTCCATTTTTTCATTTTTTTCTTTTAATTATTTTTGTGTGTTTTGTCGCTGGTGCTGTGTGGAGGTCGTGGCCAGGCGTGAACGATCGCAAACACCGTCGCATAAACGCAGCAGTGTTTGCGATCTTCACCAACTAAACTCTCCTGTATTTAGTGGCTTTTAGGGGCTATATTTAGTAAGGTCCTGTTTGTCACGGCCTTCGGTATTACCAGAGACTGGCGGAAATTTCAACTGGAGCTTAAGTTAACATATTTATGTGTATCGAATTATCGATATATCGAACTATTTTACGATTCCCTTTGAATTCGATATATCCGGGTTCAGCTGTAGTTATCTCAGGTTTTGTGCACGCACATTTTACAACAGCTGTAGCATTGTAAACCTTTGCTCTGCGAAAAGAAACTCCCGGTATGATGCTCCATTTTACGATAACTTGGCAAACTGTAAGGCCACAGCCTCCATGGCCTAATAAGGGCATATGAGCGAGGCATGGGACATCATTCCACAAAAATGTCATTAGTACTGCACCATTTGAAAATTTGCAGATGAATGAATCATACTTGGTTATTGAATAGGACCAGGGATAAGCAGTATTTCAAATGCAAGTTTTTGAAACTTGTGTTTAAGATACTTTGAGTATCTAATTACATCTTAGGAGGATATATTTGTTGGTTGATACAAAAACTTCAATATTTCAAATACTGCCTAAATACATTTTTGGCCATTGTTTTTTGCTCTGAAATATGATTTTGTCATTCTAAGACTCGAATCGTTTGCCCATGACCTCGGGACCACGAGTAATGAAACAATGTTGGAATATGATGCTCGGAGCAGTCGTAAAAGGACTTTAAAAATAGCGGGGAAGCCCCACCCTCTCGGCAAAGAGGGAGAGGAGAAGTGACACTAGGAGCTCCCGTCCCGCAACGGCTGCACCGGAATAACGCCGTGCGTGCATCTGGCTTAATTTGAGATGACTTCACTTGAATTAAAAGCTTTGGCTAGACGGCGTAAGTTCCGTCTGATAGAAAGGGTGCAGTTGTACCAATTTGTCCATTCTTACGTACATGCCTCCGCTCTCTCTGGTGTCGTCTACGCATGATTTTTAGAGAGTGCTCGGCAAGGGTGCTCGGCGTTTCGCTGTTTCGCAATATTTCTCCGCCCCTTGTTCACTGTTTTGTTTATATTTGGTGTTTCGTCTTCGCCTTAGAAGTAGAATGATTAAATTTTTTTCTTGAGTGCTTTTATTTTTTAAATATGTCCCAATAACAACAGGCTGTTTAAAAAAAGGCTTTGTTGCCTCAATTATACATTTGGCATTAATAAAACCCACTTTGAATACATTTTTTTTTTCTGATGTCCCCACCTATGATACGCCAAACAATTTTTATTTTTAAAGGTGAATTTTTTCTTAAGAACTTGTTTCTCGTTACAGCGGCAACAAAAGATTGAGGTACACATCGCGACATTGTTAGCGCAAACACGACATCGGCGCATTTTTGCACTTTACTTCTAAATAGTAATAGCGAGCACGAAATTTTATTGCTTACATTATAGAACTAAATAAGCTGTTTCCGTAACAACAATAACTTGGATGACATCCCTTGGTTTCAAAGAGAAAAACTGAAAAAACCGGCAATCGCTTGTTTGCGCTAACAGTGTCACGCTCTGTACACCTAAGCACTTCTTATCAGTTCTGAATCCGAAATCATGTACATTATTCTTGCTATACGCGATTTGGCACGCTGACCTGAGGCTGATTAGAGTTCCTGTATAGGCTCCCTACGGGAGCCAGAGTTGTGCATTCATCCCCGTAGCGCCGCCTTTCCTGCACGGCATGTTGATCCCGCTCGTCACGTGACTGAATTCGGCGAATAGCGGTGCCGTGCGTTTGAGGCGCGCGGCGCGCTCAAAAGCAGGGGAACGTACGCCGGGGCGCGTGCAACGTCTACTTTTCTGCACAGCACTTGATCCAACTCCTCATGTGATCAAATCTCCGCGAATAGCGGCGCGGCGGCACGTGGAAAACAGATTCGCAACTATGGCTCCCGTAGGGAGCCTATACAGGAACTCTAGTGCTGACAAACACGCAGCGCCATAAAATGGCCGGTCGTTGAAAGTGACGCGCAGCGTCACTTTCAACGACCAGCCACCCCATGGCGCTGCGTGTCTAGCAATGGGACCCTGGTCGACGCGCGCTAGCCAATGGGATCGAAGCGATGTAAAAGGTATCGTGGCTAACCGGCAAATGGGAGCTGGCTTGACTTGGATTTAAGAGCCGTTCGGGGTGTTTTCAAAACTGATGTCGGCTCACTCTATGAGACCAGTTAATGCTTTCGCATTAAAAGGAAGATTAGCACAAGTGACCGATGACCAGAGCAACAAAGTCGCGACATGCGCTGCTGTTGCTCTCGAGCGTGCCGATAGCGAGTGCTAGTCACGTTTCATGTCACAATGCGGGGGTGGCGTGTCATATTCAGTCTGCTCCGGTCTTCGGAGTTGACTTTTGGCATTTTCACGAAGTGTGTAAATGCAAAAATTTTACAGTGCGTCACAATGTCGTTTGCTCAAATAATGAAGACGACGCTACTTAAGACTACTTCGGCGCTCCCATCCCAGGTAATGGTCGCTTTTCAAATTATTGTTACAGGCAAATTAATATCATTCTCGGTACCCATCATGACCTTGCTGAAGTGTAATTGCTGTCCGTCTGTTAAAGAATCGCATCATGCCGGGCTTTTTTCATAAAATCACCAGCATTCCAGGCTGGCTTATTTCTTGAATTAATGCTCGGTTGAGCGCCATCCCAACTAGGTAATATCTCATTGTTGGCCGATTTCACAACAGTTGACTCCTGCTACATCAAAAAACTGACGGGACATGCGAAAAACTTTGTTGCAAAAACTCCGCAACAACAAAATTTTGTTGTTGTGGGTACTCTGCAACAACAAATTTTTTGTGCGTGCCAACCTTTTCGTTGTAGCAGGAGTCAACCGTACTTGGGTTAGTATGTTTGGCTAAATTGAGAAGCATTTTGACCCAATTTTGTTACACTGACGGTTTGAACTGTGGGGGAAATGGTGTGCATCCCAACAGAGAGTTGAGAGGGCACGTCCCCCATGCAGGCAGCTGTCCGAGGCAGACGTGCTTGGCCAGTGGGAGCAGCGTGCCACCCATCCCGGTGCGGGGTTCGAGCTCTCCGAGCCGGTGTCCTGGCTGGAGGGGGTGGTGTTGCGCCAGCTGCAGCCCCTCCAGGCGAGCCCAGCACTCACCACGACGCTGCTGCACTACACCGTCCAGGCACGCTGCAACAACCGTCCACTGGTGAGGCCCCGTGCACACCCGCGCGTGGGACTGCAAGGGAACATCTCTTAGCGACACTTGCGTGTCTCGACAAGAGGTAGAAATGTGTGCAAGCAGCCCCAGATCAGAGGAAGGGAGAGATGGAGGAGCTCAGGCGTCACGGGAATCCAGTGGCACTGATGCAGCACTTGCAACTCTGTTAACTCAAGTCTGTTACGTGATGTAACAGAGTTGAGTTGGTGTCTGGCCACTGAGCTGCTAGCACAGCTGGTCGGGAGGGGTCCATATATTGATTTGAATGCAATAGGGCTAGTGGCAGCCAACGGTTTTGGACAAAGATAAGAAATAAAAATGACTTAATAAAAAAAAATGTATAAATAAATTTATAAACAAATAAAAGTTTTACAAATAAATATAAAATAAATCAAATATATGATAAAAAATCAATGAATAAAATAAAAAATAGAATAATAAAAATAAGATCTAACACATTTAATAACTCCTTTTCACTTTGTTTAAAACTGGAATATATTACCTAGAACATAGCCTCACCGTGTGCCTGGTTGCAGTCCGCTCTCGTTTAATTTTAGTTTTAGAACGAGGCTGCTAACTGCGCGATTATTTATGCAAATACTGTTAAATTTCGGAGAGAAATAACTGTCTGCATAGTTGTGCTTTACTTCTTATTTATTTTATTTCTTGTTATTTGATTGTGTGCAAGCACGTGCTTTCTTGATTTTAATCTATTTTTTTACCACAATATCCCGAGAGATATGCCACCTAAAATTGAGTGAAAATAAGGAGTGAAAACCTGCAGTTTGCAATCGAGAAAAGTCGAAAAAATGCTATTTCTAGATCATGTCTCTCTGCCAAACTTGTCAAAGCGAGTTGCAATGAAGCAAAGATGACTGTACGTCCCAGTCAGTAATATCCACATATATCCCGCCATAGATAACTAGGCGCGTTTGCACCAAGGTCATCATTGATCCAAACACTATGGCTACTAAGAGTGGGCTACCTTTCGGTCTTCAATAGAAAGCAGCAAAGGAAGCAAAAGATAGGGGTGGGTTACCTTTGGGGGGGTGGGAGCATCTCACGGGATTTTAGGGTATGTTTCTTTCTTCTCTTTGCTTGTGTTTCGCTGATTGTTTCTTTTTATTATTATGTCAATGTGCTGTATCCCCCCTTGCGTAATGTCCCTTAAGGGCATAATAAATAAGAGAAAAAAATTAATAAAATAAAATAAGCAAGAAAAAATAAAATAAAGAATAAATTGATGATGAAAAGAATAAAAAATCCAGCCGAAACGACACACAAACCGTGGTTTGTGCGGGACAAACACGTCTGCTGAATCGAATGGACTCCCGCAGGCATATAGCACCATTGGCACTTGACTTCGAGGATTTTTCGCGTTGAGCTTCGAACATTCCGAAAACGCGCTTGGCAAAACTGTACCGTAAAAACCCGCATACTATAATACGAGGCGTGACTTGGGGACCGCGAAAAAACAACCAAGTTTTATCCGTGTATAATACGAAACATTTTAAGGACCGCGTAATATACAACCCAGGAAGTGTTAAGACAAGCTTTTATTTGCGTCGTAATTGAACCTTAACCGCTGTCATCACTGTCATCAGACTCCTTGTCCAACGCCTTCACCCAAAGGCGTTGGGCAAGTCTTCAGTGTCGAACGCGTTTGAAAGCCCGCACTTCTTTAAAGAGCGAGCGACGAGCGTGCGCCAACGCAGTGAAAAGTTGGCGCAGTGCATAAAGCGAGCAACCCAATGTCGGCTCGCCAAAGTTCTCTCGCCTTCCCTTGCAGTAGCTCAATGTTTACAGCGAGGTTGGCAAGGTGCCCTTCACGTTGCTCTTTTACAAAGTCGCTGAGACTTGCCTCAATGTCGGCGAACATCCATTTTTGGGCCTCTAAAGCTTCTTCTCGTTCCGTTGCCTGCAAACAGAGCTTGCTTTTGTCATCTCCATCCGCGGATGCTGCCTTCATTTACGGTGAATTGCTGTCCGGCAGCACTGTTACCGATGTCTTCCGCAACCAAAAGAACTTTTCTTTTGAAGGCGGCCCAGTATTGTATTGTTTTTGCGCCGACACCGTTGCCTAGCCTGACTGTGGAGCGTGGACGTATGGTGGCGCCTCGGACAGCGTGATTTTAATGATGATGATAGCTGTTTTGAACGCCATATTGCTTCGAAACCGAAACTACGTCAAACTGCTTTAGATCGCGCCTCATCGAAGCTGAAAATTGTTGGGACCCGTGTATAATTCAAGCCGCAAATTTTACATGGCAAAATTCGAAAAAAGACTTTGTAATATATTCGGATTTTTACGGTATTTAGCATAAAAAGAAAAACAGAAATGCATAGTGATTCCTTTATTTAGACACGAAAGAAGAAACACATATGACGGAGCACAGAACACATCTTTTCAACTAGTAGCGAACAAGAATGAAAATGAACTGCCCCCAAAGACGTCAGCAAATCTTGGAAGAAGCATAAAAATTGTTGAAGGAAAGGGAGATGTCAGAAGGAAAAGGAGGGGAAGATAAAACGCAGTTAAAACCCGACGAACCTGAGGGGAGCTCAGGTTCGCCGTAAAAATATTTGCTTTGGCAGGCCAGGTGCACTGCAACACTTGAGATCCACTTGCCTTTCGAAGCAAAATGACAGGAACTTAGACAAAGGTAATATGCCAGCCGAACGCCCGCTTGCCTCCAACCAACTGGCTCGCAAATTCTTGCCTATGTGGGTATGTTCTCGGTATTAAACCACAGTTGCAGTCACAGCTGTTGCACAGTTCACAGAGCCCCACAGGGCCGCTCTTATGGGAGCCAACGTCTTTATTTAGCCCCAACACACACAAAAAAACCATTCCAGTCAGACCCAGCAACATAGTTGACATGAGACATGTGGCTTAGGTCAGTCCCTCTACGAAAACTAGCACTCGCACAGTGCTTCCGAAGGCACATCTTGCGACAGTTGTTTGCTGCAAACTAGGTCAGTTGAGGAGGTCTTCCTCTAAACACCATGATGAACGCAGAACTACTCGCACTCATAAAAATAAACGAGCTCAGTGAGCTGCGCTCGTTGAACATGCTGTAAACGCCGGCAGCCATGTCTGTTATCCTTCGAAGCCGAAGCGGAAAGGCAAGCTCTGGATATTTTTTTAAAACAATAATGTGTCTATCTAGATTATTTGTTTCTCAAACATAAAAATATTGTCGATATGAATACTCTTCCGTCAAGGAGAAGCAATTTTAGAATGAACATTTCATACGTCAATAGTCTCTCTAACCATTGAGAGCCGAGAAAAGGTGCTCTGTTCTGTGGGCAGGGCCCAGAGAGGGCTGTCCCCACCTAAGTTGTGTCTAAGAGCGTGAATATTGTTTTAAAAATTTTTTCTCTTAGTGGGAAAATTTACAAAAAAAGTATGAAACTCCCCAAAATTTTTTTTTTTTCAGTGTTTTTTTTTTTAAAGCAAACCCACATTTGTCTGAAAGTTGTAGAAAATTTAGGAGAACTTGAGACAACAGAATACCTGACTGAATAACTGAAATTCCCCTGCAAACTAGCCGGACATTGCGAGTGCGTGATCCACCGTGAGAAGGGCGGTCAAGTGTTTGGGTTCCGCAAAAGCTTGCCCGTACCTGCTCAGCTGGCGCAGGTGTCGCTGAAGGAACTGGAGCGGCAGGATCCCCGCCAGGGCTGGCGCTGGACCCTGGAGGGAGCCCGCATCCAGCTGGCCATGGGGGACTGCACGGAGGCCCAGCACACGCTCTGGAGGCTGCTCGGACAGTTGCAGCAGCAGGTGGGACGCCCGGCCGGCAGAGTCCAGCTCTTTCCCCTACAGTTTGCTTTTACAACGAAGCTTTTTATGGCTAAGGTTCCGTCGATTTTCCGTGTGCAGTGACTGAAAGCTCTACAGTCGCACCTTCCCCGTATAAAAGATTTGAAGCAAATAACCAAAATAAAGCGATGACGAACGCGCGTGCAAGATGCCGTTTGTTTTAAGCTTTTGCATTAGAACGGTTACTGCTGCAGACGCCAGCGCCACACTCGCACGCCTTTCCCGTATAAAAGATTCAAAATAAATAACCAACTTCCCCCCTGTAAAGAGGGAAGTCCAGCGAAGCTGGCACTCTGAAGAGCGCATGGCATTGCATAATGTCAGGGGGAGAGAGAGACGTTTTATTATAGCGCTACTACGCCAAGCACAGTGCAGGCTCTAGTGCGACTCGCAGGTGGTTACCGAAGAGCGCGCGGCATTGCGCAATGTCGGGGAAGAGACACGCCACGTGGGGCGAGGGATATACACGACTGGGGAAAGGGGCGGCGGCGGTGGAGAGGAGAACGGTTTGCTTGTCGCCGGAGATAATCTGCCAGAACCTAGCCATAGACAGCTTTGCTCTAAAAGCGTTGACGAACGCGTGTGCAAGACTTTAGAACAGTTGCTGCTGCCGGCACCGTGGAGCATCATTCCATGCAGGCTCCTTGATGCTTTGGTAATTTACCAGTAGGTCTATTCGGTAGATTAGTTATCAATAGGTACCATTTTCAAAATTAGTAGACTCTCAGGTAAATAAAGGTTTCTCAAAGATTTGCCGCTGTGCGACTCGCATCGGCCATGTCTATGCTCGCACCACCCTCTCCTTGTCGTTGTTCCAAGCACTTGCGTGCCTAGTTTCCTTTTGTTCTGCTCTACCGGGGTGGTGGTCCCGTCACGCGTGTCAAGCTTTCTCGGGCTCCTCGGGCAGGGTCTGTGTCGTGTGCTAAACAGCTTCGCTGGTCACCCACCTCCACAGAGTGGAATATGGCTCATGATTTTTTTTCATCTCCCGATGTTGCCGTCACATCAAGAATGTGTGAGCAGGTTTTATTTTTTGTAGAAAGTGGCAAGCAATGTGCGTCAGACTGGGGCCACCCAATAGGCCCTATGGATTCACTGACACTTCCTGCACCACTCAGTGCAGTGATGTGATTGCTGCGCCAATAGCGCCAAACTATGCCAAGGGGCTAACGCTGCTACATCCTGCTACATTTTGCCAAGGTATAGGTAATCTGCGCCAAGCCTGCGCCAAAGCATCAATTTTTGTTGCCTTCCTAAACCGAAAATAAACTGAGTACCGTAATTGAGCACGCGGTGAGCTAGGTGGCGCAAGCGGCCGCCCGGCACAAAGTAACCTGCAGTGCATCAATCATTCATCCGGTCTTGCATGGTTTTCCCGTCATGTCTCATTCCGCGTCCTAATCGTCTCGCTCTTTTTTTTTTCGTTTTTCTTTTTTTAGAGATAGACGCGGGCGTGTGCGGCTCTCCGACGCTAACGTGCTGGGGTACCAGCCATGCCATCGTGCTATGAAACGAAACCACACTTTTGCACGGCGGGAGTTCCTTCGTGAGCTGAAGCACTCGCTCCTGAAAGCAACGTCCGTGGGAAAACTATATTTGGTCCCTGCATGCCAGTCACCGTAGTTGCGCGACGTCGGGTGTTGCCATCTCCACGTCGCTGCAGATATGGCGCTTTCTAAAATTAAACTAAATACTGCCGCATGTTCATCTACATTCCTGTTCTTGTTTAATTTGCTACTACAAAATCCCTTTTTAGCTCAAAGACTTCTGTGTCGAAGTATTGATTACCTAGGTTTTCTCGGTAGGCTTTCTTTTGGGAGGGACTCCGGTACGTGAAAAATCTGCCGCGAAAGAAAGTTGATGAAGTGAAGTGAGCTAAAGCAAAGAAGGCAATGTCTGCACGCTGAACCCGCACAGCGCGCTTGTTTGTCTCGAGTTCAGTCGTTGCACGAAGCGCTCCAAGAACTTTTTGACCCTGGCTCGTGATGTCTTGCATTGATGTGCTCAGGTTCTTTTTTTTTTTTTTCTGTGTGTTTAGCTTGTACCTTGTTGGCCAGCCTGGCAAGCTTGTGCCGCTAGACTGTTTTCGTCGTATGCTGGACAGTTATATTTTGCATACAATTTTGGGAACCAGTTGGCGACGGAGCGGAGTGGCATAGTTTCGATCGAACAGCCATCTCCACTTGCGTGACAATTTCGCATTGCGCTGCAGTAGTTACGTGTTTCATCAGTTGGAGACTGCTTTCATTGATTTTATCACTAGCAATCTAATGCTGTGCTATTTATACTAGGCTGGTCATTTTCAAATAAATTTTAATATATGCACTTTGGTTCTTACTTACCTGTAGCGGGTACATATATATGTATCATTTAACTGAAGCATTGCAAAATGTGTCATGTCATTGGCATTTCAGTTACGTGTTGAAAGACTCGCAGGTGATCTAACTTGACAATAATTTGTTTATTGCGGCAAGCAACGTGTCCTTGGTTTGTCCAGCACTCGAAACAATTTTTTTTTTTTTGCATAAGAATATTTGTTTTAAAAGCCACTTTTGCTGCTCCGAAACACTGTTTTAGCTGCTCCAAAAGCCACTTTTGCTGCTCCAAAATACTGTTTTGGCTGCTTCAAAAGGTGCTCCAAAACGGCTTAGGCCAATCATATCACTGCAGTGGCATGCACCCTGCTTGGTGCCCGCCACTGTATTCAACTTGCATGTACCAGAAGCACACTGCACTGCACTTTTCTGCACTGACATGGGCTGGTCCTGGTAAACCGATTGATCCCAGTGCCAGTTATGTGGAGGAAGTGGGTCTCAATCTTGCATTTTTGTGAACTTTGAGGATTTTCTTACCATGGGTTGGCAGGGGTGCGCACTTTCTCGTAAGCCATGGTTTCCCGAGCTTCCAAATTTCATCGACCGTCCCTAACCATAAGAAAAGTGGATTTTGCAGTTGGAGCACCATCTGTGCCACCCACTCAAGTGTAACCGTGAGTCATAAGCACATTAGTATGCACATTTTACAGCGGAGCTGTTAAGGGCTAGTTTCCTCATTTTCGTGACCGTCACCAAATAAATGACGCAAAACTCTGGACAGCTACCGCGATCTATAAGCGACGGCAGCAACCAGACAACCGGCTTGCCGGTTGTCTGGTTGCTGTTGTCACTCATAGATTGTGGCAATTTTTTTAGCCTTTCCACTTTGGTTTTCACCAGAGTGAAAAGGCTTAATTTCTCTAGGCGTTGTCCTAGAAGTTGTTTTCGAGGTTATCCTTGAGGTCCTAGACGTCGCCCTTGAGGTCGTCCGAGAGGTTGTCCTCGAGGTCGTCCTGGAAGTCATCCTTGAGGTTATCCTCGAGGTCCTCCTTGAGGTCATCCTAGACGTTGTCCTCGAGGTCATCCTTGAGGTTGTCCTCGAGATCGTCCTTAATGTCGTCCTAGATGTCGTCCTTGAAATCGTCCTAGTCGTCGTTCTTGAGGTCGTCCAAAATATCATCCTTGAGGTCGTCCCACCATAGTACTGCTTCGCTGGTCTTCCTTCTTCACCAGAGTGGAAAGGCTGAAAGTTTTTTGTTCACAAGTTTCATAGACTCCTTCACTGCCTCATTGCATCAATGCCCAGATAGGGTTCCTCACTTGCCGTTCGGGGCAGTTAGAGGATCCTTGAGGTCGACATAAGTTTGCAAATCCCTGCCGTAGGCAACGACTGGCGTTCAGGCTAAGTTTCCCGGACATTTGGTGCTGAAGGCTGTACGTGGAATACTTTTAATTCCTATTTTAGGGGCAAAGCTCCTTAGGGTCTAGCCTTGTCCATCCGTCCGGCGTCTGCGCTCACATCGATTGCACTGCCTCCGGGATCGGTCCACTTTTAAGAAAAAAAACGTACGCCCGCACGGGGGTTCGAACTCGGGACCGCTTGCTTACGAGGCAGACGCCTTAACCACTATGCTGCATCCCAACATTGCATGTAGCCACTCAACGTCTATACAGAAGAGGGCACTGCGGTCTAATGCGTATATATTCGTGTTAAACTTTGCATCCATTGGCTCAACGTTTATAGATGAGAGGGCACTGCGGTCAAATGCTCAACTGCGTATATAACCAGGATCCATACCACACATTCTTTTTCTGACGTGGACCGTTGACTTAAGCGGTGGCATTCCCACGGCTTCTAGCGGATCTAAGCTGATCCGCTGGAAGAACCATTGGCTCTGCATTTCACCGACCATAAAGCTGTAATACAGTCTAAGCTCGCAGTGATGTGATTGCTGCGCCAATTGCGCCAAACTGCGCCAAGGGGCAAACCCTGCTACATCCTGCTACATTTTGCCAAAAAATGGGTAATCTGCTCCAAGCCTGCGCCAAAAGACCAATTTTGTTTGTGTTTCAAATTGAAACTAAACTGAGTACCGTAATTGAGCATGCGTGAGCTAGGTGGCGCAAGCCGCAGCCCGACAAAAAGTACCCTGTATCAATCGTCCATCCGGTCTTGCATAGTTTTTCCCGCCGTCTCTCGTTTCATGCTCTCGTCGTGTCTCATGTGTCTCGTCTCGCGTCTTTTCAAAAAAAAAAGGAAAAAAAAAATTAATGATACACGCGGGCGTGTGTGGACGCTTCGGTCGTTGCACAGACTGCTCCAAGTACTTTTTGACTCTGGCTCGAGGTATCTTGAATCAATGCGCTCAGGTTCTTATTTTTCTGTGTGTTTAGCTTGTACCTCGCCTGCCGGCCTGGCAAGCACGTGCCGCTGGACTGTTTTTTGTCGTATGCTGGACAATTACACTTTTCATAGAATTTTGGAAACCAGTTGGCGACGGAGCAGAGTGGCATGGTGTCTGTTTCGATCGAACAGCCATCTCCACTCTTGCGACGAAGCACGTGCAATTGCAAGCCTGCCTAAGTCGCCCTCATGTGCATGCGAACATGACTGCACGACAGAGGCACCAGCCGGGAAGCTTGCAA